CCTTGGGAATGATTCGAAGGGCCATCTTAAGAAGAGTTCTTGAACCTTAAAAGAAATCGACAACCGCATTCTATAGTAAGGGCAACGTCCCCAGACCATGTAAAATAATGACAGACACGTAGACAATGCAGAACGGCTCCAAGTGAAAGTCCATTGCTAAAGGGTGTTCCAAGAGACCTGTCTGAAAGTCAGCAAGACAGGACATGCAAATGACGCAGAAGCATAACAGACTGCCGCAGTCACCTCGTTCTCCACGGGGGTTTGTTCTGACTGGAAGGGGAGGAGGGGGCGCTGTATGAGAAGAAAGAGAGGGGTCTGAGGGGAAAAAAAACAACCTTGTAAGGCATGCATAACTGATGTTCGTACCACTTTAAGCCATCGGGGCCTGCGAACAACGAGAATGTCAAACGTGCGAAGCGTCGTGACTTTTCAAGCTGCCAATCACCACGCACCCCCTCTTGGAGAGCTCAAGGACAAGCGACGGTGTCGACAGGCATTCGCAAATAAAGTTTGCTTCCCCCCCCCCCCCCCTCCCGAACCACCACCCGGTTCTGCTATTATAAAGCTGTCTGCAAGTTCCATTTATTCCGTTTTTTTGTATGTGTGTGCTGCGCTGTTTCCTGACTGGCCCGGATTGCTTAGCTGGGCCATAGATGTCTTGTTTTGCCAAGTGCGGGGAAGAAGGGGGACCCTACCCCGTCCGTATACATAAAACGTGGAGGACGATACACAAGAGCACAGCAGCAGCAGCAGGAGCAGCCATCAGGCTACCTGTCCCTCCTGTCAAAAGGGGGCCAGAGAGGGCGAGCGCAGCATGGTAGCTTTGGCTGTCACGCCTCCTCCTCGCAGTCCACTTTGTTGTGGCTGTTTATCGTTGTCGGGGAGGGGGGAGGAGGAACACGACGAGACCCTTTCGGGCTGTGTGTTGCCGATTTTTCGCTGCTGCTCGCTCAGGAACTATAGTGCTATAGAAGGCTAGGGACAACATGGAAAGACACAAAAGGTAAGAACTGACCAAGAAGACGTCGTTTCGGTGCTGCATCGGATCTTGACACTGCTCGTACCCCATGGCGCGCGGTCGTAGCACAAAAGTGAACTCGTGCGCGCCCCTTTTTTTTTTTTTTTTTTGTCACCTTTTTATTAAGTTTCGCTGCTCTATGTGGGTTGCGGCGGTGCAGATACTTTCAGTAAAAACCATTTAGAATTCATCCTTGACGATGGCATAACTCACGAAAAAGCTCTAGTTTGTCCTTTCCACGCGATTGTATAGTCTCAAAAGAGAGAAACGAGCGTGGTATACCCACTGAACTCGCAGCCGGAACAAGCGGTCACATAATGTGGTGCTGATTATAGACCAACTCGATGCTTATAAACAAGCCCGCGCGTTTGACCACGTCAGAGGTGGGCACTGCGCATGCGCCGTGCCGACAACAGCGCCACCGCAGCTGCATCAGAGACCGAGGGAGAGGAGGAAACGCTTGAGCCGAGCTCTGGTTCGAATGATTAGTGTCTAGACCAAAAGCTAGCTGCCTTGGTTTCCAATGCACTCCTTGAAGGCGTTCTGACGTCCCCAAGTAATCTTGTCTCCTCCTCTCTCTCAGTTTCTTGGCGAATAGGCCGCCAATGCTTCTTGTGGACACGCGCTGGGGTTGGCAAATCCCAGTACACGTGCTGAATAAACCTTTTGCTAAATTACAAAAAAAAATTGTGGTGTGGGTATGTTTTTACAGCCCGAACTTAGTCTGCCTCAACGGGCGACTCGTCTCTCAGCTGTAGATGAGCAATTTAGCCAGTGCGGTACTACCGCTAGCCTGGGGTCTTTAACCTCCACCAGGCAGTAGTGATACACGACCGCACGCCGGTACAATGCTCGCCCAGATCGAAACGGGCAGGGGTGGGGATGGAGCCCAGGATCGCTGGGTTTTACAGAGCGTTTTCGCTCCACGCTCCGAGCTGGTGTGCGCTAGCCTAGGGTGCCTCAATGTCCTTCTGTTTAGGGTGATGCCACCCTTTGTAGTACCCGATGCCGACAGCACGCGCTTACGGTTAAAATACAAAGAAATCGACGAAAACAAAATGTCGCCATAGCACAGTCAGCGCCACAAACGCGTGCAGGAACACGCTCTTTCACGCGCTTCTGAACAAAAAATAAAAATAAAAGCGTGAGACAAAATGGCCAGATGTCTCCACCCTAAGCAAAGCGCACATGAAGGCACCCTACGCTAGCCCACTGCGGGTGTATAGTTACATGCGCTGCACGTGCTGGCGTCGGCATCAGAAAAACTGTTCTGAAGCAAAAGATGGCACCTTGCACGCGCGTTCATCAACGCCTTATTTGGGAATTTCACTTCAAAATATTTTATGCGGGGAAGGCGAGCGGGGAAGGCCCGTATAGACTTACATTCTTGTCGATGCTCGGGAAATTTAGCAATGCGGAAAGCAAGTCGTCTGCTTCTTGCCTAGGACCTGCAGTGACGTCAGAACGACGCCGAGCCCTGATTGGATTGAAAGGACGCCTTGAGGTTTACCCACTATTTTTTAAACCAGCCAATAGGAGCTTGGCGTTCTGACATCGTCGCAACCCCTGTGCAACAAGCAGACGAACTTTCGCTCCGCAAAAGTTCCTTCCGGACATTAGAAAAAAAAATTGGGTTGTGTGTATGTTTACACAGCCTACTTGGTCTGCCTCACAGGGGCGACGAGTCTCCCAGCTGTAGATGAGCAATTTAGCCAGTGCGGTACAACCGCTAGCCTGGGGTCTTTAACGTGCACCCCGCAGTAGTGATACACGACTGCACACCGGTACGGTGCTCATCCGCTGCAGAACCCAGGGATCCTGGGTTCGAGCCCCACCCCTGCCCGTTTCGATCTGGATGAGCATCGTACCGGCGTGCGGTCGTGTATCACTAGTGCGTGGTGCACGTTAAAGACCCCAGGCTAGCGGCTGTACCGCACTGGCTAAATTTCTCATCTACAGCTGGGAGACTCGTCGCCCCTGTGAGGCAGACCAAGTTCTAGGCTGTATAAACACACACACAACCCAATTTTTTTACGATGCTTATCCAGATCGAAACGGGCAGGGATGGGGCTCGAACCCAGGATCCCTGGGTTCTGCAGCGCGAGCTTTCGCTCCACGCGCGTCAAGCTGGGTGTGGACATTAGAGAGTTTATAGATCGTGTTTTCAGGGCACGCCATTTGTGGCGGGATCTCGCGCTGCCACTTTGATACATGCTCCGATGCGCGCGCCCTTAGCGGTAGCGGGCCTTTAAAAATGATACACTAAAATTCCCTCTTGTTAGGATTTCATTATTCCCGTCATTGTATAGCTATTGGACGCGAGCCACCAGTCGAATGCTCCTAAAGGCATTAATTGTCACGATCCCAAACTCCTGAGCCCACGCAGAGCACATTTCCAATCTGTCCATCATCGTGGGTTAATCCCCGTGACTACGTGACCAATGCAACCCTTATGACTACGTCATCACGTTTTGCAAAGGAGAGAAGGTCCGCCTTTATTCCCGGCGATAAAGAAGCTCCTTGGTCAGGGCCGTGACGTATATACGTCTGCTTGCGTCGAGTCACTGTCGGCTTGAGAGGCTGTGGCGAACCCCGAGCAACCTATTTATCGCTCCGCACCCAATGAGATTGTGCCATTGGCCGATGAGAACGTCCAAGAACCAATTGCAAGCCAAGAGGCAAGCCACACCCTGGGATGATATCAGTGACGAGCCCGTAAATTCGCAACATTTCAACGCAATGTGGTGCGAAAGTTCGTCTGCTTCTTTTGCAGGGGTTGTGGTGACGTCGGAACGCCGAGCTCTAATTGGCTCTGATGGAGGCACAATGAATAGACCTTAATGCTAGCATGCCTCAAGACCCTGCCCACTATCCTTTCAATCGGAGCTCTGACGGCATCGCAACCCCTGCTCAAGAAGCAGAATAACTTACACTCCGCACATCGTCGCACGGCCCTGTTACTGAGGGAAACAAAAAAACAAGACCAAGCCGCGCATGAGACCCAGGGGCGTTTCGGATACGGGCTCTCACCATCATGGCGTCCCTTTGAGGATAGGATCACGCGCCCTTTGTGCTAGTCCCGAACGAGAACGCGTCCACTCGCCGATCGGCCACGGCAGTAGTGGTTTACCTTTATGCACACACCCTATTCACGTTGGATCCAACCCCGCCCTTGGAATTTCCTACCCAAATGACAAAAATTAGGTGGTACAACGATGTCTCGTTAATATATGGGCAGCTCCGTTCCGCAGAAATATTAGGGAGTTGTAGTAGATCGTTTTTCTCCTCCACTACGGTGTCCGTAAAGAAAACGCCGCAGCTGCGCATGCGCGTCGCCAGCCTTCTCTGCACAGTTCAAGGTCTTGTGGCGGATTACGGAGCTCTATGCGGGTGCTTAGCGGGCTACAGAAACGGTCTACTAAAACTTCCTATTATTTATATTTTGAGTTGCGAGTTCTCCGTAATAACCGTACCAAAGATGCATACTCAATTCGTGACTGTACAGCCCCCCCCCCCCCCCCCCCCCCCCCCGTTTAAAATTTCTATCCCCACCCGATTCCTGCGGATTAAGAACCCCGGGTAAACACCTACTAGGCGACGGATTTCGATTGAACATAAAGCGGACCGCAGTTCGATCAACTCCAACTAGAATAATCAAGGCCAGTGAAAAACGTCATCCTTCGACTTTTTGATTGGGTACAGCCCAACGCCGACGCGGCACTTGTCTCCAATCTGCGCCCAGTCTCACAGCGATGGCGTCAAAATGTTAGCATGCTTCGATTCTTCCAGGTGGTGTTAGCTGCTCGACGCGTCGAGCCCCGCGCGCGAGCAACCCCTCCTCGCTCCGACACGGGCGTTTTTCGGCACGCTCCGGGGGCGAAGCGGCGGCCTTCTCGGCGGAAGGGGGGGGGACGACAACTTCTCGCGCGGGACGTCCCGGCCCGCGCAGCCAGGCGAGCAGCATGCCGCGCAGCGCAGTAAACGTGGGGGCAGACAGCGATTAAAGAAAGAAAGCGAAAGCGTCCACGAGAGGGCCAAAGGATAAATACGGCCGACGGGTGTTTGTCTTCTTGCCCTCTCCCCTGCGGTCGTCCGGAGAGGAAGGGAGGGACGCCGCAGCATGTCTTCCCGGGGGTGTCGTGCCATTGGCTCTGCCCTGCCTGACGGCAGCAGCAGCAGCAGCGGGAAAGGCGGAAAAACGCGTCTCCCACCCGGCGCGGGGTGGCGGCGGGGTCCCGTCGCGAAGCGAGCCCAGCGAGCACCGCACCCGGTTCAGCGTCGCTCGCGCCTGGAGCTTGCAGCATGCCCGCCGCCGAGGCGAGTGCCCGTCGCCCGACCACGACGACGGCCAGCAGCAGTGGCAGCAGCTGCAGCATGTCCCGGTTGCCGGAAGTGCTGACGGCCCTGGTCCTGGCGCTGCTCGGTCTCACGCCTGCCCTGCCGGCCAAGTCGAGGAACGACGACTTCTCGCTCTGGATCGACGAGAAGCAAGTGCGGGAGTTCAGCGGTGAGCTGCTTAGGGGCTACTCAGTACCGCGTGCTTCCGTCGGTGCTGTCTGTCCACGCGCTGCAATCTTGCTCCGGGGAGTTGCTTCGTGCATCGCGCGCCCGTTGGTCTGTTTAAGTATTTGTATCAACGTCGTCTGGGCAGTCCAGTGGGAACTTGCTGCGGAACGCGTCGAATTTGTTTCTCTGAACAAGAACAAGTAGAGGTGACTCCCAACAGAGCACCCTAAGATCGTCCCGGGGAGTGTTGAACTCAGCCTCAGGGAGTAAGGGGGGGGGGAGGAGGAGGAACGGGGGCATTTATGTTACTGACTTTAGCAGCGATAGGAAGAAGTATTTCTTCGTGACGCTGTAGGGGTGTACGGAGGTAGTTTTTCCCCGGCGCGCTGGTCTGTCCCAGTGCCGGGTCAACTCCTGCTCCAAGACACAGGCCCTTCGAACAACAGTATCCAAGATGGAGGAGAAACGCCGAATATGCCCTCCTTCGACCCCCGTGCACCTGGAGTGTACGCAGTTGTTCCCGCGCGCAAGTTCCAAGACCCGAACTGGGTTGTTATTGCGGATGTCGAAAATGAGGGGCTCGTTGGTCGGAGAGCGCACTGTTGGGAACCCCGCGAAACCTTATGGCCGTCACGATCATACTCGAGTAAATAAATCTACCTTTTCAACCATGTTTTCTGAATGAATCAAGTTGCGAACGCTCTCGTTATCTTTTATCACTGTTGCGCTCCAGGAAGGTTCGTCGCAAGACGTCAGAAAAGAATGCGGGCGAGGTTTATTCCCTCGGCTTAACTTTATTGACATTTTCGGAAGTTTCACTTTACCGTCCTGTGTATCTGTCAAATTCACTCAATCGAGAAGAATGGTCAGCGATTAGTTCGATCCAGTAGCCTTTATTGACCATTCCAATCGTCGCCTTCTGCACACCGCCATCTGCGTTCTACTGAGCTGATGTGGAAAGAGTTCCAAGCATGTAAAATGGTTATTGTTACGGGATAACAGACACCGCGCATCCGAAACCCCACAGCCCAGTGAGTCAGCATTTTTGGCCCGGGTGATAAGCGCTGGAAAGCTTTATGTGAGCAGGAGAGCTTCTCGGAAGGTCGCATTTATTGTATATGGTCAAAAAAAAGGTGCGCCTACCTGGAAGACTGGCAGGTTGGTCGTCAGATATCTGTTTTCTCAAGCTGCCTGTTACGGAATTCACTATACTTTCACGTCCTACAGGGGGCGCGCTAGTCCCTATCGAAATGGCTATCACCTTGATGATCGTCGTAGAACAGCAGTATACGATGCGGGGTCTGCGACGTGTAAGTAATTCGAATTACGTGAAATACGAGCGATATAAGAGCCGTGCCTGATATTCCCACGTGGAAAAGGAGTAAGCAAGCACGTTCATTCGGAAGCCGATTATCCAGGAGCTAGAGGGAGAGCGCTTCTCACACCGCGGTACCACCATCACTGAAAGATGCAAATGCTGACATTTCGGGGCAGATATTTGTTGGGGAACGACATCCGCGCTTCTTCGGACTTTCTAATCGTAATGGCAGTTTTTTTTTTTTTTTTTTTTAATCGTTGGAGGAAAACGAGGATTGCGCATTCGTGAAAATTGTGACACTCTGTATACATGTCAGGCTGCGGACGACTTGCTCCAATTATAAGCTTCACGAAACAGGGCTGTCGACTTCTCTTCCTTCTGGATTTCTTGTGCTTCGATTTGACGGTGTAAGTTAAGGCTAAAGTTCACAGGTTGCGCTTGAGCGTGACCGACAGCGTTGCACCTTGCAACGATCCGTGACTGATTATAGGTTTTACTGGCGTCATCTATAGGCCATCCCTGGAACACTTCCGATCTGCGTATATTTCCTACTTTTATTTACGCATTATTCTTTACCATGGGCTCGAAATAATTCTAACAATGTCATAACTTGAATTTATCGTGAGGAGTACATAATTTTGATCTAGGAAATGTTGCGAAACCTTTAGTCTAGTTCAGAAAATATACGCAAATCCGCTCCAGGGTTGCCCGATAGACGGCGCCAGTGTGTTTTCTCGTCGCAAACAATCACAGGCAAGGCTAAATTATATGTATCTAGCAGCCATGATGTATCTAAAAAAAAAAAGCGCGTATTGAGCAGACTTGTACGGCACTCATTGCAACAAACAATTGTAATTGATTACTTTTGGAGGTAATTTTGTAATAATGTGATTACCTTTATAAGGTAGTGATCACTAGAGTAGTCTGACTACTTCTTAAAGTTATAAAATTACACGTAACCCAGGCACGTAGCCAAGGGGTGGACATGGGGCCCGCCTTCGCCCCCCCGCCCCCCCCCCCCCCCCTCTCCCGAAATCTTCCATTTGGCTGGGGCACCTCTCCCACCGTCCCCTCATACACCATTTTTCCTCCCTTTCCAAATGGCGCCCTTCCTTTCCACAACCTTCCTAACAAGGAATCATCGAGCCATTCAAGTCTCTGACAGGGGAGTAAATAAACTGCGCAGAGGGCGACGACAGAGGCAGAAACAAGTCGCGCTCCGTGTGTCGTATACTTGTTTCTGTCCCTGTCCTCGTCCTCTGCGCGCAGTTTATTTATTTCCCTAAACACAACCAACTATAGCCCGCCACAAGGTGTTACTCTGACCGGGGGACGTTCTACCAAAATAGGTGGCGGTTGAGCAAATGAGTAGTTCGCGTAATTCATGTGATTCTACTCCAATAACCGACGGTATAGGAAAGGACCGTTCTCAAACAGAAAGAAATTTCCTTTAAAAAAAAAGTAATGGTTACTTTTTTAAGTAACGGTCGATTACTTTTTCTCTCAAGTAATCAGGTAATCTAATCAAATATTTATTTTTATTTTTTAAGAAATAGTAATTAAAATTTATTACTTCCTTTTTTTTAGTGGTGTGCACAGGGCTGTTACTGACTGACTAGTCACGGGCGCAGTCACTCGCGCTCAAACGTAAATGTGTGAACTCGCCTTCAGTTATTTGAGAAGGCGTATGAAAACGCCCAGTGTCACTTGTCGAATGCGGTATAGTCCTCATTAAGCAAATCCTCGCGACAAATCGAATATTTGGGAAGTTGCATTTCTTTCTTCAATGCCCGTGTACGACGCGCATCTCTGTCGCTTTTGTCATAAGCTGGTACACACAGGGAGCAGCACTCAAATAAACCACGCTATATATAGTTCGGGCCGATATACGTAGGAATCATGCATCAGCCGCGGACAAATCACGTACAACATCTCGTTTGTTCTCTTTAGGGGAGTCCGCGCACGACCGTTGTAATGCGTGCTTTTCTACGCGGAGCGCAAGCTCGTCTGCTTCTTTTGCGGAGGGGCTGGTGACGTCAGAGAGACGCCGAGCTCTGGTTGGCTCTGATTGAAGGATAGTGGGTAGACCTCTAGGCCTAGGGCAGCTTGCTCTGAGGTCTACCCACTATCCTTCAATCAGAGCCAACCAGAGCTCGGCCTCTCTCTGACGTCACCACAAGCCTCGCAAAAAGTCACCGGCATGTTAAGAAACCCAGTGTCCCGATCGTCTTATTACGGCTCCGCGCCCATTAGATTGCGGCGTTGTCGGATAAGAATGGCGAAGCAGAAAGCGTGAAGGCAATCAGCCCGGCGTGTCTCAAGTTGTCAGTTGGACGCTATTTGAATTATGCAGCACCCTTGGGCTTGAGCTGTTGACACTTTCCATATCCGTATCCCCATAAGTGAGAGCGAAGGAGGAGCTATAAGGAGCGAGCGAAGCACTTTGACGAAAGCGTTGCTCAACCATCGGTTTGGCTCGCACTTTTAGTGAAGTAGACCATGTTAAACAAGCATGGTGTTTGCGTTTTTGCTCGAGTGGTGATATCTCAAACATTTTTCCGCACAGTCGTTTTCTTCTTTTTGTGTGTGTGTGTGTGTGTGTGCGTGCGTTTTTTGAAGGGCGCGTAAACCGGTGGGACTTAGCTCCAGCGCATAGCCTCGGCTGATGCTTAGACGCCATTTTACCGTACCATTCACGGGCTTAGTGTGCCAGCGCATCAAGTGCTGGCCCACGGTGCAACAATGAATGACTTCACCTCGAGACAGAAAGGTCTGTGGGCACCCTAGATTAACCAATGAGCCCCGCGTGGACGACATGAGGTGAAACCGCCGATCCTGCTTTTTTCCAAGTCAGTAGAGTAGTCCGAAGAATAAGGACCCCAATGTGGCACTCCAGTCATAGTTCGGACCACGGCTCTCTCAAAATATTGATCACTCCCCCCCCCCCCCCCCTTCCCCACCCCAAGTCATTAACATCCCGGCCACCTGAAACCCCCTTCCCCCGCAAAACGTTCCTGCAGCTACGTCACTGTTCTTGAAGCTGCCATTCTGCTGTGTTCAATCCCCACCCCTGCCCGTTTCGATCTGGATGAGCACCGTACCTCGGCTCGCGGTCGTGTATCACTACTGCGTGGTGCACGACGTTAAAGACCCCAAACTAGCGGTTATACTGCACTGGCTAAATTTCTCATCTACAGCTGAGGGTCAAGTCGCTCGTTGAGGGCAGACCAAGTTCTAGGCTGTATAAACATGTGACGAAGCCGCTGAACTGTCTTTCTGTAAACAGCGGAGCGGCACAGGCTCCGGGCAAACGTAGCTCGAGAAATGGCCACCATCTTTATTTTATTTCTTCGTTATTCGCATATGCCTGCAGCGTATGGCGCTTCGCACAATCCCTCAATTTCTGGGAGCCGAAAAGAATGCGTGTAATGGACTTTTCGTCGCCTCGCCAATTATCATCCCCTACTAGTCTCCGCTGCTGCTGGCGCTAATTCTATCCCCGCACGACGGAGCCCAGAACGGCTTTCCCCAGAAGGAGGAGGGGGGCGCACACCAGAAAGCGGGAAGGAGGAGAAGGAGGTCGATGGCGTGCTGATTTATTATGCTTCTTCGGAGCGCCCTTCTCTCTAGCAGTCCGGTTTGGGCTTCCATCTCGTGTCGTGTTGTTTGAGTTTCTCGCCTTT